CAGTAATTTTGTTCCTCCTATTATTTATTATTTAGCAGCACAAAGCTGGCCGAGATGTTTTGAAAAGCGGCACAAATAAATAAAATAAACTTTTATCTTGTGTTTTTCAAATCTGGTGCCCAAGGAACACACCACCATCCTAAAATTGTCACTCTGTCGGCCACACACACATGTTTGTTCTTCTATCCTCATGGGGACTTTGCATTGATTTCCATTCATTTACCAGTCATTTATACAGCCTAACCCTGACCTCTTACCCTAAACCTAACCTCACAGGTACATGCATGCTTCTAAACCGAACCTAAAYTCAATTCACACCTTAGTCCTAAATCGAACCCCTGACCCACTAATGGTATCTGTCTCAATGGGAACTGGGCTTTTGTCCCCATAAGGAACAGTGGGTCTTCACCAGGTTGTGTGTACCAGATAAATGGTCAGAAATCCTCCCCACCATAGCAAAAACATGTACACACAGACACACACTAATGATGTAATTGTAGTCATCATCAAGGCATGAATCCCCTTCGATTTCCCAAACTATATAACTTTATCTGAAACTATAACACACATTTTATTTACTAATTTGTGTAAATTCTCAAATTTAGCTCCGTCCATTGCATTGGGAATAAACTGACATAATCTAAAAAAAGGTTTTAAGAAAATTATGTAGGAAATTAAAGCATTTAACACTGATTAAGAATAACTACAAGTAAGGTGCCACCAACTGGAATAGTTTCCCGTGACACCCTGGGAATAAACCGTGTAAACAAACTCGTGATTAAAATAGCCCGACGATGTGTAATGCAGGGAAAAAGCTGAGGGTCATGGATGAAAATCCAATCTCCCAGCCGAGTTCAGGGGAGTCAGGTTACCTGTCATGAAGCTACTGCATGTCTATTAACACGGACACAACGCTACTGAAGTGGCCAGGCTGGATTGCTATGATTTCAGTAATATTCATTTAACATTTAGGCTTTGAAATCATACAAAAACTAAAGAAAACATTTCTACTCAAGAGTTCCAACGACAGACCAAATAAAATGTTACGAAGCATAATGTGCTACAGGCTCCATCTTGTCTTTTCAAGGACAAAGTCACCCAGACAGCAAAATGAGACCCTAAACTCTTCAGCTGATATGTATCTCCCTTCATTTTTGCCTTTTATGGAAATTTTTGACCCATGTTATCCAACTTCTTATGTCTCAGTTCTGTAGTATTTTTAATCTCATAAAATTTTAATTTTGTTCTATAAGCACTTTCTACCGCCTTGCTGCTGAAAAGTGCTATATAAATAAACCTTACTTCACTTTATACCTTACCTATTTAAATCACTGCAGTTTTTATTATTTCGCCTCAACTGGTGGCTAATGTTTGCAGATGTTGCATTTATTGCCTTGTTTTTCATTGTTTGCATTCCTTTATTGTTCGTTCTTTTGTCTTTCAACTTTAGTGTTGTTTTCGAGCATAATAATACGTTTGAGCTGCACAGCTGTTCTGTTCACACTAACAGTATGTAACATATGAAACTTTAACCAGTATTTTATTAAATTGCTAATTAAATAATCAATCCTGACACTGAAAAATACTGCAAATCCAGAAAATATTGCTGGTAATGAAATAAATTAATGGCTGCTTTAGCTTTATGTTTTTGTGTGTTTTGAGCATGAAATGGACAAACTAACCCAGATTTGATTTGTTAGTGTTTTTGGATGATGTGAACTACACTAAGTTGGCTTGCTGGACACTTTCTGTCATCTTTACATTTATTTGAAAGCTGGAAGGTGAACGTTGTTGCTGAGCAAGGGCGTAATCACCATCCTAAAAGTGGGGGGGACACATTTTTTAAAGGTCTTTTATTTCCTGCTTCGGTTGAAATAAGTGGGGCGGKACAGAGGGCACAGATATGGGAAGTGGGGGGGGACATGTCCCACCCTGTACCTATGGCGGTTTACRCCCATGTTGCTGAGTCACAGAAAATAAGAACAGATGTGACAAAGCACAGAAGGAGCACCTACAGAAGCGGTTGCTCTGTGTGAAGCTGAGGAGTTAAACTTACTTTTTTTGTGAAGACAATTTCTCTTGGTCACCGGTGCTCGACTACAAAGCTCATTGTTTTCCCATCAAAAGAGGGCGGGGCGATGATTCTTGGACCCTGCTGCGTGGTGATGCTGATATGTGCCTTTCTGTCAGAGCTCGCTCCACTGGTCACGTGTCCTAAACTGAGAGGCAGGTGAAGCGCCGCCCCCTGAGGAGCTTCATCTGCGGTGCTGTAATACGCCTTCTCGCTGCTCTTCAGCTTTGCGCTTTCCCCAGCCGTTGCTGCTGCTGCTACATCCTCAAAGTGGCACGGCGACCGTGGCATCACTGCCTGCGCCGCCAAAGTGGGCGAGGGGATGAACCCGGGGTAGATCATGTAGGTGGGGGCGTATGCTCCTGGGCTGAGAGCCAAGGGGGACAGAGAGAGGGGCACCGGTGTGACAGGAGCTGCAGGTGAATGAGGAATGGGCACATCCACATACTGGCCCGTCTCCGGGTCRAAGAGTCTCTTGGTGGTGGCCTGTATGGGAGTGTCCAGCAAGTAATAATGTCCAGTTGTGGGATCCAGGAGCATCTTGCGCTGGGTTTGCGGGACCATGTCCCCTGTAGACGGGGTGGGCGACACGTTGGGGGCAGAGGGAGAGAAGCACAACACCTGCTGCTGTTTGTGAGGACTTGTTGCTGCTGCTGGATGGTGGTGATAAATGGTTGCAGCTGGGTACTCCATGATTAAAGGAGACCTCTTCTGCTCACTGGGAACTGGCTCCTGACTCAGCAGCTTGGGCTCGTTTGATGACCCCAGTCCTGGTATTGTTAGATAGTTCTCAGAGTCTGGRCAGGCTTGTGTGACTTTAGTGGTGGAAGCAGTTTGGATCTTTTCTGGCTCTTGTTTTGGCGGCGGCTCTATTTTCACTGAGAGCGGCGGCACTGAGGCCTTGGGGCTGTGAGGAACAGGATCGCTGTCTGATTTAATGTTTTCACGGCTTCTGTTGTTGCTGAAGTGGAGGACGCTTTTGTTGGTGAAACTTTGCGGTGTTTGTGTTTTAAACGTGTCACTGTTGAATGGAACGCGGATGATATTCAGCGCTCGTTTCTCTTCGTCAGTGTTCACGGTGGTATCCATCAAAGACTGAGGTCTCTGCTCGAGAAGTGACAAAACATGGCTGTCTGAGACAGGGTGAGAGGCCTGGGTTTTACGCTTCCATTCATTCCTGTCGAAAACATAGAGCTGCTCCATCGTCTTGACCGCAGCCTTGATTTTCTCCAGCGCGTCCTGCTTTGGCACGGCAGCGTCACTCCTCTTGTCCTGCCACTGTTTTCCCAGTTTGGTCTCGAGATTTGTTTGCATCTCGGACTGGTCAGGGACTCCCTGCTTTGTTCTGCCGGTGGCAYAAAACGAAGCCGTGTTTTCACTCTGGGATGTTTCAGACGGTGCGTCCACCTCTGTCAGCTGGGATTTAACATTTGTTTTAACAGAATTGCATTTAATCACCATGGGGGACGGTAAGGAATGTTTCACCGGCTCCACTTTAACTTTCTCCTCCAGTTTTTCAGCCGCCGTGGAACATCTGCGCTCACGGTTATCCAAAGAAACAAATCGATACGAGCTTTTGACTAACTTCCGCACATCCCTAACGTGATAGATTGGGGTTTGAAACTTGCATTTTGTGTCTCTGATGTCTCTGACAGTGAAGTTTGGGACCTTCTCCACTGCAGAAAAAACATATTTGCTCTCCTCTGCTGCTCTGAACTTGTTGATGTCATAACTTATTTTAGGGGTTAAGAGATTAGCAATATTCAACGTGCCACTCTTATTTTCTTTTATSTTTCTCAGACAGAATTTGATCTCAGGCGTTTTGCCTCTCTTCTCTTCTTTGGCCTGCATTGTGTTTTTAGGTGCATCTGTGTCCRCTGTGTGTGTTTGTGTCGTGTCTGTAAAGTTCCTGTCTTTAGACAGAAGCTGCCAGCTGGGAACAAAGAGGAGTTTTGTCAGCACGCTAGTACTGTCYAATCTTTCTTTGGATGTGGTTTGTGACTCAGGCTCAGCCTCCTTCTCAGGCTTGTCTTCTTTTACTGAGTCTAACGCACCACTTTGGACAATCTCTGACTCTTTGGTGGTTTTCTCTTCTGCACAGGAGCTGGATCTGCCTCCCTCTGGGTTCTGCTCATCAGCTGAGTCGGAGGTTTGTCTCTGCAGGCCTTTACTCGGACTCTTTTCCTGATCTTTCATGCTAAACGTGGGCGACGCAGATGGGTGGGAGTCGCGGATTTCCCCCCGCTCCATTTTGCGCTCCTGCTCAAACTGCATCTTTTTGGAGATGACGTTTTTTAACAGACTGGAGGCAAAAATCGCCCTTTTGTGCGAGTCCCCCGCGCCGTCTGTGTGGTGGCACTGCACCTCGCAGGCAGAGCTGGCCAGCACAGCCCCTCTGACCTGACCCGGTCTTCCTGTCTGGTCACATTTGGCACCCGTGCAGTGAAAGCTCAACGTGACTCCGCGCTGCGCGGGCTGCTCCCTCGGTTGGCTCTTTTTACCAGAAGGTGCCGCTTGCTGCGAGTTGACTGTGTTGTTCAGAGAGTAAACTCTGCTTTGCGCATTTTTCCCCCCGGCAGCCTCCCTGCCATCCACAGTTTTGCTCATTTCCAACGTGGCGCTGGAGGTTTTGTGCGCAATTACGCCGCGCTCGACGTAGGCGGACCACTTATTTAGCCCATACTCTGTCACTGAGGACTCGCTGGAAGTGCTAAGATTGATGGCATCAAAGTAGGGGCATGCCAAGCTCCGGAACGACTTGGCGGTTAGGTTACGCACCTCTTTATCAGCGTCGTCCAGCTCGCTGATGGAGCTGGACGCACCGCTGGAATACTCATTAATATCTTTCCTTCTCAGTTTGGTGGCGAGGTGCTGACGGCCCGGAGCAGGGATGAAATATGGAGCCCTGTCGCACAGGGGCCCGGCTCTGGCGCCAGAGCTCACGAAGTGGCTCCTGTCAGCGAGGTGTTTCGCGTACCAACAGGTGCCGCCGGCGTCGTTCACCGCCCTGGAGGAGGTCTGGATCGATAGGTGGATCCCCCCCGCGGGGTTCTCGGTTTGGGTCCTGCACAGGCTTTCATCCGAGCTGCACAGATCGCTCTCCTCCTGGTCGGTGCTGACAGCCGCCCCGCCGAGATTCGCCTGCGCCTTCGCTTGGCTCCTCCTGTCCTCCTCCAGGGTCCGGACGCGCTCCTCCGCCTCCCCTACCTCCCGGGGGTCGTCGCTCTCAAAGGAAGCGTAGTCCACAAATGAGTAGACCAGGTTGCCGTCCTCGAATTCCCAGCGGGTGCCGCGGCCCAGGTCGTAGTCCACGTCGTGGTCGAGCTCTGTGAGCTGGATCTCGTGCGTGGTGATGTAGTGGGACTCGTCCTCCACCGAGTCCGAGGGGTCGGACAGCTCGGCGGCGCTGGTTCCATCGTCGGACTCCGCCTTGCTGTTCAAGCACATGTCCGTGTATCTGAGCTCGTCGCTGTCGCTACAGGCGTCGGTGTGCTCACTGGAGTCCGGCTCGACCCGTTGCTCGGTGTCCGAGTCCGGGTCGGGAAGTTTGGTGAGAGAGTCCAACAGAGACCCGATGAGGACGGTGTCCTCCTCCTGCTGCTTTTTGTCCTCATCTGAGGCGGCTTTTCTGTCCTCCTGCTTCGACGCGTCGCTTTTACTGACGGACAGCTGGTTCCCGTCGCCGGTGAAAGTCACTTTCACAGTCCTGGGTCCGTCCGGTCTCATGTCCAGGTCCACATAGTTGGACTCGGTGTCCGTCCTCTCCGATTCCCGGTACTTCTCGGGTTTGAGCAGTTTCTCGTGAAGTCCGGTGTCATCTCGATAAGTGAGAGTTTCCATTTAGTCCGGTCCGAAACCGACAGGTGGTCCTCGGTCCTTCTCTGACACTGGACGGAAAACTCTGCAGGCTGAAGCCGAGGGGCGGCCAGTGTGCGGGTGTGTGTTTGTGTGTGTGTAAGTATGTGTGTGAGTGAATGTGTATGAAGGGGGGAGGCAGGGAGAGACAGAGACAGATGAAGACGGGGGAGTCCCACAGAAAATCCCATCCTGGATTTTTCATTCATTCAGGAGTTTTTGTCCAAACATTTCAGCACCTCTCCTGGAAGAACAGCTCCCGATGCTTTTTTAAAATCATTTACCTTGTTATAGAGGCCTAATATGGAAGTGGTGAAAGGTGCTTATACTTTGCATACATTCTTTACTTTTATATGTTTAAATAAGTTTTTTTTTCCTTACCAGGTGCATGATGAGAGAAAACGGTGGACCCAGGCAGGCAAAGACCCAGGGGCCTCAGGGAGCTGTTAAGATGGGGAATAAAATGAATGCATAAATCATTTGGCTGCTTTAGCTCTCTCCTGTATATGTATGTATGTATGTATGTATGTATGTATGTATGTATGTATGTATGTATGTATGTATGT